TGTTAATGAAGAGTAAATATACCAATTAAAATGCCAGTTTCTTTCAAAGCTGCTTGTATGTCATGTCAGAAATGAGTTTGCCCATGTTAATGAATGACTCAGTAATGTTCAATGTACGAAAAGGACAACACAATAGGAACAGTTCACCATTGTCTATGTGCAAGTTTAATAGTAAACATGAATATTAACTTATTACTGTAATTAAATTCAAGACTATTATAAAATTTTTAAATATTTTTTAAAATACCATTTTAGTTACCAAACAGTCAAAGGATTATTTTAAATGATACTATAACTCTTTTCCTGGCATAATCTTTGTGAAGTATTAATAGAAACGAATCTTCAATTTCCAGCAAGGTCTACTAATGGAAAATGTATGTAAAAGTAAAAAAAAAAAAAATGATATTGTGTTTTGGAACATTTTGTGTCATTTGGTAGTTTGCTAAATGCCACCACTCTGGTCAAAAATTCACAAGGGAACAGTTAGTCATTTTCATGATTTACCAAGCTTGTACAGGAAACCCTGGCTATTTGCGGGTTTCGCATTCAGTTTTGAATATTCGCGGTGCTGCACCAACCCATGCTCTCTTCCCACTGGCAGTGTGATGACACTTACAGCGCTGGCCGTGTCTGTGGGAGCTTCGCACTTACCAGTGTTGGGTTCCCACTGCCGCCAGCACAGCCTTGCCCTCCCAGCCTCCGGGGCACGCGCCATTCATGACATATTTGCAGCTTTCATCATTCGCGGGAATCTCTGGAACGCCTCGACACAGGAGCAGAGGCCGATGTCATCTGCCTGGATTTTAGTAAGGCCTTCAACAGAGTTTTGAATCCTATTCTCATAGGGAAACTAACGGGCTGTGGAGTGGATGCCTACACAGTCAAGTGGGTGGCTAACTGGCTTAGGGACCGCACCCAGAGAGTGGTGGTGGATGAGTCATTCTCGGCTTGGAAGGAGGTGGGCAGTGGGGTTCTGCAGGGTTCGGTCCTTGGGTTGGTGTTATTTAATGTCGTGGAAAACTTCACGTGTATGCTGGCAATACAGGAGTGGAGAAATGAATTGGCTGTGATAAGCATGCGCCATGGAAACAGGCCTAGCATGTGTCCTCTGTGCGACCTGCAGACCTGTCACTCAAGCCTAACCTACTTTTGGTTCCATGCAGGCTCAGTTGATACAGAGGGCCTGCTGCAGCGCATGCTCATTAGTTCTCTGGTATGAGGTAATTCGTCTAGAAAATTCTGTCTGCCAAGCAACCTAATTGGCCAAGGGACTGCTTTAAAAAGGTTAGTGAGCCCCTCCCTTGGGGGAGATCTGCTTGAACTGATGACAGAGCCTGGTCTCAGAATCTGTCTCTCAGTAGGGCTTCTCGGCCTGTCGGTCTCCTCCTGTGAGGACTCTGGCTGTTTTGCTGCGTCTTCACTCTTGATTGTACTGTTCATTCGTGATATCGATTCTCTGGTTTATGAACTATTTTGATTGTGATTTCGACTTCGGCCTGTGACAGTTCCCGCTGCTTCTTACTTACTTGGCATTAATTGACTTTGGCTTTGTTTCTTGACCACGGTTTGGCTCGACTCTGCACACCTCGATCCCGTCTTCGTTACATCTTACTTCGGTTCCAGACTCCGGCTATCTTCATGACCACTCCAACCATCCGATTGGCGTCACGTCTTGCTATCCTCAGCAGGTTACAGTTTTGTTTACTGTGTGTTCATTCATTCCTTTTATGAGCCGTTGACCAGTCCTAGGACTATTGAGCCAGGCAGCTGCCCCTAGCCTCTGGGTTAGATAGCAAGGGCTTGGCTTGAGAACCCTGAGGACCAACGGACCCCTGTGTTGTTGCTTGTTCGTGCCATTGCACTCACTACTGTAACAGAAGAATTACTGTGCCTACGCCTCGAAAAGCATAAGTGAATAAACCATCTGTTATTTTGAAACCACATGCCTCTGTGCCGCTCAGAACTCCGCCACCACTAATCCCAACCTGTTCGTTCGTGTCTCCAATTGCCACCCCGTTCCACTGTGAACCCTGGGACCTTCACAAAGGAGGTATCCCGACATCTAATATCTTCATCAGCGATTTGGACGAGGGTATGGTAAGCACCCTCTCCAAGTTCGCGGATGATACCAAATTATGGGGCAAAGTGAATACACCAGAGGGCAGGGAGCAGTTACAGGGCCGACCTGGACAGGTTAGATCAATGGGCTGAATGTAATAAGATGCAATTCAACCAAGATAAATGTAAGGTACTCCACCTAGGAAGGAGGAATCCTCAGCACACCTACAGGTTGGGGGATGTCCTCCTCAACAGCAAAGAGGCTGAGAGAGATCTTGGAGTCATAGTTGACTCCAAGATGAACATGAGCCGGCAGTGTAATGAGGCTATCAACAAAGCCAATCGCACCTTGTCGTGTATTACCAGATGCATGACCAACAGGTCGAGGGAGGGATGCTCCCCCTCTGTGCGGCATTGGTCAGGCTGCAGTTGGAGTACTGTGTCCAGTTTTGGGCACCGCACTTCAAGAAGGACATGGAGAATCTGGAGAGGGTTCAGAGGAGGGCCACTTGCATGATTAATGGTCTCCATGAAAGACCCTGTGAGGAGAGGTTGAGAGATCTGGATCTCTTCAGCCTATACAAAAGATGGCTGAGGGGTGACCTTGTAGCCACCTATAAATTTATCAGGGGAGGACAGCAGGGAATTGGGGATGCACTGTTTACCAGTCCACCCCAGGGAGTAACTAGGAATAATGGGTGCAAACTAGTGGAGGGTAGATATTGGTTAGACAATAGGAAGACATTTTTTACAATAAGGGTGGCCAGAATCTGGAATGGGCTTCAAAGAGAGGTGGTCCTATCACCTATCTTGGAGGTCTTCAAGAGGAGGCTTGGCAAACACCTAGCTGGGGTCGTATGACCTTGGTCCTCTTTCCTGCCAGGGGCAGGGGGTCAGACACGATGATCCATTGGGTCCCTTCCGATTCTATAATCTATGAATCTATGTATCCCCTGCGAATGGTGAGGGTCTCCTGTATACCATATTTGTGATTGGCTTGAGACAAAGGAGCAGACAAAAACTGCTGCGCACAAAACAGGATAGATTTGAACACAGGATACATTTGTACAGGTAGCCTTTTCTCCCTGCTCACATTTTGACATCCAGAATGTTTTAAGTTACTTTCATAGGCTGTCATAGTTGTGAATGATAGGGATTGGCAGGTTTGTTTCTCCTGTTTGAGAATAATTACTGCTTTTAAGAGATGGGGTGGAAGAATGGAGCAGGGACTCACGTTAAGAATATGAAGCAGCCAAAGAGGCTGTTTCAATGCTGGTAACCCTATGGTATGAATTTAAATGTAATAGTTTTTCTGACCTTGCTACAGAGGCCACTGGGGAGATTCCCACACCAGATCCATTCTTCTTACTGGATGCATATGAAGAACCGGTTCAAATCGATAGATGACATTTTGAAGCAAAATGATGAACTGAACAGTAGCAAGTCTCCGAGACCTGATGTTAGTCATCCAAGAGTTTTTAAGAAAGTCAAATATGAAATTACAGACCTTTTAGCAAAAGGATGCAACTTATTCCTCAAAGCAGTCTCAGTGCCAGCTGGGGCTGGAGGCAAACCAACATAACATTGGGCATGTCTACACATCACCCAGCATCACTGTAGCCATGTGCTATGTCGCCATACTGCCTGCTACAATGATGTGGTGATCACACGGGTTTACACATGGTCAGCAGCTACATCGACATACCAATGCGCTCCTCTATTTTTGTGCACTGCTACGGCAACATAGCGGCAAAAACTAACCATGCACCATGCTTACGGTGCAGTATGGGTGGTTACTGCGCTGTGCTTTAGTACTTCCAAAAGGCAGTACAAAAGCACGGCATTGTACAGAGATGTGTAGACGCATCCATTAACCTTGAAAAAGGGCCTCCAGTGATCCAGGGAACCACAGAAGAGCATCTAACTTGTGTTCTCAGCCAAGTGGCAGAATCTACCATACACGGAAAATAGAATTAGTGGTCCCTCAGATAAACATGACACACTGGAGAAGACACAGCATGGTTCTTGTAACAGAAAATGCTGGGTCTCAAGTCTGTTAGAGTTTGCTGTGGGGGTCAAAAAGCAGATAGGAGGGACCCAGTTAATGCAGCATACTTGGGTTTTCCTGAAGCACATCAATTCAGCGTTCAGTGGCAGGCAAACAAGCAAGTGAAGTGCAAGGACATAAAAGGAATCGAAAACAAAAGAGGAAGCATTGTTACATCAGGGTATAAATCCTCAAGTGCTGGTTGAAGTTCTGGCCGCCCGATCCCTGAAAGGACAATACTGCTCAGCCAGGCTGCCACCAGCTCCTTTCAAGGGCGCTGCAATGTGAGCCCTGTGTGTAGGTACGACCACCTGCACACGATTCGCAAGGGAAACCGGGAGATACCAGCCACTGCCAAAACATCCTGCCCCGCTGGTGTCTTTCTGAATTCTTGGCAATGGAAAATCACTGCTCTGTGGTTTCTCCTCTAGTCAAACCACGAAAGAAACCACAGAGCTGGCAGTTCCTCAGGTAAGCCTGGAGTCTACAAAGGTTCAGGGCAAGCGCCCCACAAACAACCACCCTGAACCTCTCCGGATTCACCTCAGGAAGGCAGAGCTAGCCGGGCCATGGCGAAGTCAAGTATAAGACGCGAGATCTGCCCTCACACTTGACTGGCCCGGGCCCCGCCCTACCCACCGCGCCTGCGCACAGAGCCCCTCTTCGGCCGATGGCGCTGGGACCTTCCCGCATGCGCAGTGACGGAACCCGGCAGGCCGGCCCACGGTGGCGAAGTGGCTCTCGCGAGATTGGCCCCCGCTACGGGAGAAGAGCAGGGGGCGTTGGCAGCGGCTGCGTGATGCTGGTGGGGGGGGGGCTTTTTTCCTTGCCCCCGGCCCCACCCCG